AGATATAGTATATATATATATATATATATATATATATATTAAGTTAAATCCCATTGATTTGCTAATTTTTAAGGTTTTATTTTTTTGTCGGTGACCCTCACAACATTATTATAAGTCAATTTATTTTAATTCAATAATTCATAGTTTATATTAAATTTTAATGGTTTAATTGTTAAATTAGAAATTTTAAATGAGTAGATCAAATTAATAAATAGATCAAAATAGTTTTAGTTATCAACTTATTTGGAGTACAAAAGATATTTTATGAATAATTTATAATTAATATTGAATTTTGAGGATTTAATTATTAATTTAAAATTTTATAAATGAGTAAATCAAGTATAATAAATAAGGATAAATAAATCAACAACTTTAGTTACCGACTTACTTGGGGTGCCAAAGGTTTTTTAGGATGGTTAAAATTTAATATAAATTAAATCATTAGTTATTAAGTAAAATTTTTATCAAAATTTATATTTGGAGTAATTGCATTCCTCACCTTTAATAACAATTCTCGACTTTTTTTTTATTTGTCTATTTTTTTATTCACGTTTTTAACTAATGTTGATGATGATACGATTTTGACGTTTTGAATCAGTAAATAAATAATTTTTCAACCTAATAAATTATACATCGTAACATGTCCACTTTGTGGAATTTATCAACGTACATAAAAGATTGTTTGGCAAAATGCAACTACCCCAAATCGAGTTGTATACGAACGAAAATAGACCTAAGGGAAGGGAAGAATCAAAATTTTGTTCAACTAAAATAGATATTCCAATAACAAATGTTCACTTTGTAATCAAAATTTTATTATCTATAAAGATCTAATTAAATTCAATAATATTCACTTTCATTTTTGCATTTATAATAATTAATTTTTTATCATTATTACAAATGGGTGTTAAATAAATTTTAATTCAATGATAAAAGATTAATGTATAATTTATTACATTGAAAAGATATTTATTTACTAATACAAACTGTCAAAATCATACCATCATCTAAATCTTACGAGAAAAATTAGTTAAAAAAATAAAATAAAAAATGATGGAAAAAAATAGATGAAAGACCAAAATATTAAAAAAAATCATTAAAAATATCAAAATAAGTATTTGTTTTTGAAAAATAAAATATATATTTTTAAAAAAATTCTAACAAAATTGAAATATCTACTCTCTCTATAATAAAATAGTGTGACAAAATTACATAATTAGAATTCTCTATTTTATGGCACGTATAAAAATTGAGGATACCAAATTTCTTTTTAATAACACTTGGTTTAATTTTTAACCTTTTTAATTTAAAAATAAAATTTGTTTGGATTCTTAACTAAAGTTATAATAAAAGGAATATTTTATTTAGTAACTAAATCCATAAAAATAGAATTAGAATTTTCAATAAATTACATATATAAAATTAATTTAGATAATCATTGAAAAATGTCATTATCTCTTTATTTTTACTTTGAATCATATATTAATTTTATGTTCATTCATCTATTTATTTGAATTATCTCCTTCTTTTTCTTTTTCTTTGTGTGTTATTTTCAATCTTTCATTTTTTTTTTAACAAAATGCCCTTAACAAATAAGTGAGAGTTCTGTTTAATAGTTTTGTCAAGCCTCACCTTTTGAAGCATCCTTCACCTTCTTAGAAATAACAAAAAGCATTGCATCAATATTTGACTCAGAATTGCACTATGATTTTATGTGCCCAAAAAATAATATTACAGATGGATAATTAACATCAAAGAACTCACAGTCAATGTGTTTTTTCTTTAAATAAATATATTCAAGTGTTTTGCTATTTGTTTAATTGGAGATTGTCTTTATTAGGTTTTTTCTTTTTATGCTTGCTAATGCAAGAATTTTTATGGTGTTTCTTGTATTTTAGAAGACAACAATCATACTATTCATGCATGTCACGACTTGGATATTTTTCTTTAATAATCAACGACCGAGTTTCAAACATAGGCTCGTGAACAAGGAAATATGAGGAGCCATTTAGGGGATCAAATGATCATCGAAGGTCAATGTTCTCCCACATGATACTCCAAATCAAACTAAAATAACTCTACGCTTTTTTATAATTTTTTTATTCTCCTAATTTTAAAGTTGTTTCTGGTAGTGCAGGATCAATGAGAGCTGGGTAAGGAGATTATTGTACAAGAAGTGGAAGAAAAGCTATTTAATAAGAAGTTATGATAATAGACAATGGAATATTATCATCCAACAAAGTTAGGAACAACAAATATTTTTTGTTTAATGAACTAAATAAATTATAATCTATAAACCTATATTCGTGTGTGACTTTTGTTTTAATGAACTAAATAATCTATAATCTATAAACTTATATTCTTGTGTGTGTTCTTTATGAATAAGTTTTGATAGACTTGTTAAATAATTTATGATCTACATCAAATTTTAACGATCTAATCGTTAATTTAAAAAATCTTAATATTTAGATCAAGTTTACAAAATTTTAAAAATTATTTAATATTTTGTTTCATTAATTCAAATTAATATATAAAATATTTTTATGATTATTTATCAATTTAAATTAATGAAATAAAATATTAAATAATTTTAAAATTTAAAAAAGTACAAATTTAACTTATATATTAAAAAAATTAAATTTTATAATTAAATTATTAAAATTTATTATAGAATATAAATTATTAAACGAAATAAATATGGTTAAACCAAAAGCATACGCTTAGTATTATCTTACCTGCTTAAACCTTTTGTAACTTGGTCAGTGGTGATAATGTTTAAGTGATGAAGTGTTTATTTTTCCCTCCTCTTTACATGTCCGTGCTTTGTTTGTTTCAAGATAAAGCACGTCTCAGTGATCCACACCTAAATCATGACAATATTTATGAGAGAAAACTCTGATAGAGAATATTTTCAAAAAATGAAGGCTCACAAATTGACTATCAGGTCAATTTCATATTTAGGTGCTATATATAATTGAACTGTAAAATTTCATTTTCACTCAACCTGCTAAACAGATGTCTTAATTTGGTAATGCATTATGTACACATATGACATGTTTATGACTAACAGTTGCTGGTAAATTTTACAGAACCAATGTTGACTATTGGCAGCATCAATCCTGTGATGTGGAATGACAACTGGACAGTTGTAACGGAAAATAAAAACCTTTCGATATAACAAAATTTGTTATTAACGATAATTATTTAACAACAATAATTTAATTATCACTATTTAATTATATAATAAAAATATTAATGACTAATATATAATAACTACTAAAAATGTATTTATATTACACTAAAGTTTATTATTAGTAATAATTATTTATTAAAAAAATTTAAGTCTTACATCAATTAGAGATAAGATAATTAAATAGTATATAAGTGAGTAATAACTATCATCTTACAAGTTAATTTTATAAGGTTGAGTTAGACTTCTAATTCACTATTCTAAATTGGTATCAAATCACCCACTATTACCAAGTTCAATAGTGCTATAAAACAATTAGAGAGTAACTTTCACTTTATAAATCCCACATCTCTTAAGAGACAAAATAATTAAAAAAAATAAATCAAAAAATATATAAATAGAAGACAATAGTGTTATAAAACAATTAGAGAGTAACTTTCACTTTATAAATCCCACATCTCTTAAGAGACAAAATAATTAAAAAAAATAAATCAAAAAATATATAAATAGAAGACAACTCCTATCTTACAATCCTCACATCGACAGAGATAAAAAAATATATAAGTTATGAATTTAGAAAAGGAAATTATATAATAAATTATTTAAAGTTTTACTAGCAAAAGATAAAAGTCACTAAATGGATGAAAAGGAGACAATTGAAAAAAATAACTTTTAATAGCCTTTAGAATGACTACTAGAATTGTCATTAAAAAAAATAAGTTTTCCTGACAATTTAGTAGGTCTTTAATAATATTTTATATAAATGCCGATAATAGTATTAGCGATCCTAGATACACCAGCCATTATTTAAATGCTGGTAAAAAATATAATAATTATTTATATGGCCGCTAAAAAATAAATTAATTGCTAAAAAAAACTAATTTTAATATAATGTTTCAGCACAGTTTGAACACACCATTCTGATAACTCTTGATGGAGCTGAGATTATGATTCAATGTTGACAGATGCAACATTGAATATTTGCGATCATTATTATTATATTTTATCTTCTAAATACATACCTTTCACTTTAAAGGAATTGAATAATTTAATTAATATACCGATAAAAAATGTACATTAATTAATTTCACATTAAACTTTTTATTATATTCAATTTGAATTGTATATTATTTAGTTTGTTTTAGAAACTTATATACCACCTACCACGGTTTATTCTATCATCACTAACTAAACGGTAATATTGTTTTCTTTGGAGATTTTACTCATGATATTATGATTTAAGCGTACTAACATAACGTAATTCAAAATAGTAGTCCATTTAGTATAAAAGAATAATTTAAGTGTTATAATTTGTTTCTTATTCTATAAATTCACAATATAATTCCTTTCATCGTAGACTATAACTTTTGTGACAAATGAACACGTACTACGCGATAAAATGGGTAATTTGTAATAAGCTAACCTTAATAGATATATAATAATTAAAAAATAACAATTTCAATTAAATTATTTACTTAAGGTTTGAAAGTCAACAACGTTTATTTTCTGCACATTTGAAGTAGAAAATTTTACACTTGCATTGTAATCGTACAGGAATCAGTAATCAAATCTTTGAATAACTTCAAAACATAGGTTGTCATGTCATGCATTCTAGTGACCATTTACTTTCCATCTTGTGAGTTGGACTTTCTCACCTTTCTTGTCTCTGAGAGTAATTTTGCAAACCTAAGCATCAATCAATATTTATTACAGGAGTTAAAGTTTTATTTCTAGGTTACTACTAAAAAAATAAATTAAATAGATAATAAAAAAATGAACCTTTTGAGTTCTTCCTCATTGGTGCCTTTGCCTGGAATTGGTTCATACAGACCTGTATCAAGATTCACTCGCGTAACTGTTTTCTTCAATAACTGCTCGCCCACTTTTACCAGATTATCCAAATTCTCTTTAGTAGCTACATCCACAGTTGCTAAATCCCCTATTAATGTATTGTCCTGATTGAAGCAACCTTTGTAATAAGTTTCTTAACAATTTAATTGCAACAATTATTAAATAAATGTAGAAGTAGTAAAAGAATTCAGTTGTTCATCATTCGTTATGTAAAATCTAATTAATCCATCAAACTTTTGTAAAAAGAAATATTTGAATCAGATTAATTGCATGGATCATATTATCAAATGGATACATAACAATTCATCTATCTTATTTTAAAATTTAATGGACCATTTACTAACACTTTATTCATTAAAATCAATACATAATTCTTTTAGGTGTTATTTAAAATATCTTTATTTAAATTGTAAAAATTTGTAATCTTTTTTTATTTTTTTTTATATTTAATATATTCAAACAATCCGTTAACTACGCTAACAATCTATTAACTAATTATGTTCATGGTTTAATTTTTTTGAGTTTATTTAATTATGTACTTCCATGAAGTTTAAGGAAAATCAGTAATCACAAAACTTCACCTATCTAGTAGCTAGGGGTGAAAACAGACGATACTAGGCTATATTTTGATAATTTTGAGTGTAACCTAATTTATAATCACAAACTTTTGAACATTAACTATTCATCTGTTATAAGCTAATTTTTTAGTTTTCACCTAATTTAAAGTATACTTGTGTGTATCATGTTATATAAGACGTGTAAAATGGCTAGTATACTAACATGCCTAAATATAGACTTATATGCCTAAATGGACCTTTAATTTTTATTTATTAATAATTATATGTTTTTAAACTATTACTATTCTGATATTAACTGAAATTCTAGGATATATATAGTATTAATGTATTTATATATATATATATATATTAATGTATTTATATAACCTAGTCAATATATCAAACTATATATAAGTTAATTTTAAAGTTCAAAGTTTGGCCTTTCTATAATTCTCCTAATTTCATCCATACTAGCCAGTAGTATAAGGTAACTTACTTGAATCCGGAGGTAGTTGTCTTCAGATTGAAGCGCATTAAAAACCATACAATTGTGGTAGTCAACCATATCAGTGCTTGCTTCGCTGAAACAGTCTACAATGGGAGTTGATCCAGAGTTGAATAACCATGTTAAAGATCCCCATTTTGACACCATCTCAGCGTTGTACTTGTGCTCATTCTTGTTTGATCCTGTCCCTATTGAGAGTACAACGAAACATTTATAGTCCAAAGGCTCAATACCTCTCCCATCTGGGTTCCTCATCAGATGCTTAGTCACTTCTCTCATTGCAACCAAAGTCTGCACATACAACAACAACCAAATTAAGTCTTTTAAGTTTAACATCAAACAAAATTAGCATATAACTTACCTGCAATATTATAAGTGTTGATGTTAATATTCTTCTATCAGAAGTAAAGTTTTACTTCAATATATAACACACCACACATTTAATAGAGATGTCTAAGTTTTGTCCTAAAAATTAGTGGTTGACTATCTAAACCTTTTCTCTCATTTCAGTAATCTCACCGGGTTATTAGCAGCCACGCCACCATCAATGAGGTTGAATTCCTTTATGATTTTGCCTTGTTCATCTTGTTTTGTAAAATAATGTGCCGGCAAAAAAGTTGGAGCAGCCGAAGTGGCTATGCAAATATCTGACAGTGATACATCTAAAGATGGCTCCGTTGTTATCTGTACAAGATCACTGACTTCACAATTTCATTGACCAATCAAAACAATGGAGAAATTCTTAATGAACCACCCTCCTCTTGTTGAAAAAAAAAAAGAGTCAACTATATGTAATTAAAAGAATTAACAACCTGGTACGAGGAAAAGATGGTAGGTTGAAGTTTCTTGACATCAAAAGTTGGAATAACAACGTTGGTCAAGGTTTGGTGCAACTTTGTGTCCCCTAACCCCTTTTTTATCACCTCTTGGAGATATTTTCCGTCATACTTAGGTCCTGTCAAAGCCTTAACTGTGTTTACGAGCGGAGCAAAAATTCCCCTACAAGAGTAACCAAATATAGACACATACCATGTAGTAATTGGTTAGTTCTATATATTTACACAAGGAATTAATGTGTATATATGAAGCATAGTAATATACAGTAATTAGTAATAGTAGACCTTGTTTGGGGAAAAATTTTCGGGGAGTTTTGGAGGTAAAATGGAACTATTTCTTTGGCAGAAAATATAGGACGATCATTGGCCTTAGGATTTGGTGCTGCTAACATGGATGCAATGAGACCCCCTGTGCTTGTTCCAGCAATTACATCAAAGTAATCTGCAAGCCTTGCATCCTCACCATCTAACTCCTACATACACCTTCAAAAGCAATATTAGGATCTAATTCAGAATTAAACACGTGCACGTGTGCTTAATTAGTGCAATTTTTTCTTCTATATGTATATATTAATTAACCTGAAGTTGAGACTCAAGGTAGGCAAGAATAACACCGGGAATGATTCCTCTGATACCACCACCATCAATGCTAAGAACCGTGACGAGATTCCCATCTTTTGAAGCCAAAATTTCGGGAGAAGATTGGTTTTCCATCGCTGTTTGCAAACTATTATCAACAAGCGTGTTGGTATGGATGGAGAAATTCTGAGGAACCTTGTATAAGAATGTATATATACTGAGATTGGTCGTCGCAATTAAAGAAATTCGCAATTATTAGGTTTTACTTTAGTCATTGAGCACGAGGTTACGAGTTACTATAATGTTTACGTGAAACAAGAATAAGAAAAGACTAATTAACGTGGTAAATATGATGATGATAATAAAAAAATAACTAGGCTCAACTTTGCAAACCACATGAGATGAGGTAGCTTGTAGCACGAGGTTATTCTCGAAATACAAGTTATATGTTTACGTGAAACAAGAATAAGAAAAGAACAAAAGGTGGTAAATGATGATAATAGAAGAACAAGACTTAACAATCAACAACTAGATTATCGACGAACGAAGTCATCGACGTGAGTTTAAAAGTTTATCCAGCTGAAAAACCATTAATTAATTATCTCATATCTCTAGCTAGACCGTATAATATTATATATATCACACGCTATCCACTATGGGATTCACAGCTAGTTGTTGCTTAATTGGTTGTCAAAATGAGTTTAATGCTCCTTAATTTACAATATCTCTGGGTCAGTCAACTACGTCTAATTGAATCTTTGGGAACGATTACTGAAATTATAAATAAGACGTGTCTCTTTCATAAACTAGAGTTTTCATTTGCTTAGGCTAATGCTATGATGCCCGAAAGTTATAATATCCGGATCTAGAGGTGCCTGAATGACATCTGTTAATTAGTTATAATAGTGCTTTTCATAATTTCAATTTTGTTTAAATCTTTAGACGTTACTTTAATTTTTTATTTTTATTTTTTGTACACGAGGTGCAAAATTGCATTATTGAGTTGGATAGTTGTGGATGTCATTTCCAATTTCAAACTAAACAATACTGACTTTGGTATCATTTTATTAAATTATCAAGAGATATACTTAATCAACTCTAAAACATTATAGTTGATTTTATTACGAGATAAGCTAAATATATTGTTAATTTACACTCTTGAGGACATCAAGATTCTATATTATTCTTTATATTTTGTTTAGTTTATTCCAATTTCCAACCTGTATTGAAACTTTGAATTATAATGATATGATATATAAGTCTTGTTTTGAAAAAGAAAAATAAAAAAGTATCAGAAGAGTAAGCCTTGCATCTTCATCGTCTATCACCTACGAAAGTGCATACAGCCTTACGATATGTTAGAAGAGTTTTATGATCATACTCCACCTATGGAATATTTTATTATCAATTAAAATTTATTAAAAATTTCAAACTGATAAAGAGATTAAATAAATAGCAATACTTAAAAAATTGTAAATTTTAATAATTTTTTTATATTAAAAATAAAGAGTTTATTTTAAAAAAAATGTTTCATATTTATATTAGTAGATATACACTCTACAAAAATATATCATACAATTGGTTAAATCTCTTACTCTTAAGATTTGTGATTTAATTTAATTTCTCTCATGACTTTGCATGGAGTCGTATACATATAAATTAGTGACATTTTATACTCAACAATAATCTCCTTTTTATGTGTATTTTAGCAAAGTATAGAGACTATTTATTTATATTTACATAAAATTATAAGACATTAATAATATCGATATTGATAACTAGTAATAAATTAAAAAATTTGGCAAGTGAAATTTCAGTTACCAAATTTTACAAATTTATTATCTATATTAAAATTATTAAATTTTATAATTTTATGTAAATATAAATAAATAGTCTTTACACTTTGATTGAATACATGTAGAAGGAAAATTATTTTTGGATGTGTCTATTAATTTATATGTATTTTGTCTTAATCTAAATTGTTTTACTTTAATATATATATATATATATGAGAGGAGGGTTCAAATGACATCGGTGTAATTTTTACTAAGTGTTACGCTGCTTAATAACTTTATATTAAATGTGAATTTTGAAAATCTAATCATTAGATTGAAAGTTCATATCTCTTAGATCATATATATCAAATTTTGTTAAAATTGAAGAATAACTTGAAAGTAATCAAAGTGTTCATATTTTAGTATATTTTAAAATGTATATATTACGTCAATTTTAATCATCTTAGATTAATATAAAATTTGATATATATAATCTAAGAGATATAAATTTTTAGTGCTAAAATTTTAAAATTTATATTTAATATAAAATTATTGAGCAAGATAATATTTAGTAAAAATTACAATAATATTATTTGAACCATCCTCTCTGTATATATATTAATGGATGTACGTGTGTACGCTCTGTGCAATCCCGGAATTTCTGGAGAAGATAGGTTTTGTTTGGCATGGCTGTTTATGTTTAAGAGCTAAAATCCAGAACCGTGTGGTGGACAAACTTTTGAGGCTATATACTATAATATTTCACGCAAACAATGAGATAACCATGGCAATTAAAGAACTTTGGAGTTAGCGTTTACTTTTTAAAAAAACAAAAAAATTCTTCAACTTTTTAAATTTTTTCATTGGGCCGGATTTATTATTTTCATCCATTGGGCCAGATGTTATTCTTTAAATATGTGCTTGTGCAAAATGCGAACAAAATAAACTAAAGTTCTGTTTAATAAATTTATTCATAAATGTTTATAGTTAAAAATATAAAAAATAAATAAACCAAGCTTAGCTAATAAGTTAAAATTAATTTATATATAATAATAATTATTATTATTATAAAACTCAAGCATCAACTAAGATTAATGATGAAAAAAAATGATGACGTGGGATTTTAAAAGATTATCCGGCGAGAAAACGATAAGTTTCCCAGGTCGCTAACTAGAATGCTAGACCAGGTCTCTGGTTATATTATACTGTAACGGCATATTAATACATAACTGTCTTAATAATAATAATAAAATAATTAAAATTATAATATATAAAAATGTTTTTAAGTACTTTAATTTTCAACTGAGAAGTGTTTTTTATTTTTAGCATAAAAAATCTTTAAAATATTTCTAATTTAAATCTAAACAGATCATTACATTATTATTTAATTACATAATATTTCAAGAGTCTGGTTGGTATTAGAATAACATAAAATATGGCATAAAAATAAGATATGGAAAGAGAAGAGTAGAATTTTATTTTATTCAAAACAAAATTATCTATAAATATGATTCGTATAATGTTACAAAATCTTATTTAATGTTTGATACATGTTATCATAATAATAAAAATAAAATAATATTATTATATTATATATTTTGTATTTATTATTGATCAATATGATGTGATATAAATTATATTAAAAAAAATTGTTTCAATAAAATTATGTGTAATTTTTTTTTAAATTAGCTCTAATTTAATTGTTTAAAAATTTAAATTTAAAATATAATTTTAATTATATTATATATAAAACTTAATCTTTATTTATGTAGTCACTTTTTTTAAATTTATCCCTACATATAAAATATGAGTAGTTATCTTGTGTGAAAATATTTTTAAGAATTTTTCTTTCACAGTGAGATTTAGTAAAAAAAGATTAATTTCATATTCAGTTTGATCTTTTATTATAATTATTTATAAATTATAAATTAAATTTTAATATTATTAAAATAAATTATTAGTAAATAATTTTTTTAAAGAAATAAATTTATATATATATATATATATATATATATATTATTGTAATAGACTAAACAAGTCAATTCAACTCATTTTAACTTGGACCAGTTTAGTCTTTGAATTAAGTAAATTGAGTTAAAATTTAGTAAAAATTAATATACATTTTTTTCTAACTCGACTAGATTTAAACATGTAATGAGTTGAATTGATTTATCAAATTTAAACATACTTTAACATTTCTAGAAATATAAATAAAAATAAAAAATAAATATATTAAATAATATAGTGTGATAAAAAAATAATGAAAAGCACTGTGCATACAAGTTTTTTTTTTTTATGAATATTACTTTTGAATAAAACCTAAACCTACCTTAAAATAAGTTAACAAGACTGTAATTTTGTGTATTCAATGAACTTGATCCTTTAATTCGTTATTAAATTTATAATTTAAAATACCATAATAATTTGTAACATAATAAAACAATTTTTAATATAAATGAAAATAAGAATTTTGCAGTAAAACATTATTAGAATTTTCATTTAATAAAAATGTTTTCAGGTCTTTTTTTTGTTTTTTTAAAGAGAGATTTTCGGGAATTTTTAAAATTATTATCCATTTTAATTTGTATTTATTATTTATATTTATAATTAAATTTTGACATTTTATCACAATTATCAATAAAAAATGCTGTCACAATTTATATATATAAAGTATATATATATATAATTTTCATAAATTATAGTTATATATAATAAATATTTAATTTTTTATAATGCATATATTAAAATATTAGTCAGTTAAAAAATATTAGTATTATGTTTGCTCTTTAAACGTGTTTTCTAATTTTTTTTATAAAATAAACACATGTATACCAATTAACCTTTCTAATTCAATTCAAATTTGATCAAAATTCGAGTTAAGTTAATCACTTTTTAATAAATAAACTCGATTCAATTAAATTTAATTACTTTTTTTAATTCAATTTCATCTAACTGGATTTATGATCACTCCCTTTACACATTAATAAATTTATATTTAGTGTTCTGTCCGGTACATAAAAAAAAAAAAGAAAAAAAGTTACATTTATTACAATGTGTCAGCATTTTATGAATAACTTTATTTCACACAAAACTTTTTAAATCTCCCACATGAAATAGTATCATTCATATGAAACTAGCACATGACTACATTTATAAGTTTTTTTTATTTTATAATATTTTTAATTATGAGTAAACCCTTGCAAACTACTTGGCATAAAAAGGCCATAATCTTCCCATTAGAACTCACTTGTTGGAAACTGTTAATATGAAATATGAAATATCATCCCAATTTTGTTAATAATTAATATTTGATAAAGAATCTGTTTGATTTTCCATAATAATTTTTTTTCTGGATCACGTTTTTTTTTTATAATATTAAAATTCAAAATTTTATTTGTGATATTTAAATTGAATATTAGTTGAAGCAAGTCACGTTGGTTATAAATAATGTATTTTAATGAAAATCGGTGTGAAGATTAGAATCAAATACTAAATTAATATTAATAGTTAATAAGGATGATAAATAAATAGCATAATCTAAATTTTGTGCATAAATGAAATGATAGCTAAAGTCAAAAGGTGAGGTCCAACTAAGCGAGTGAGTTTCTTCTTTTCTTTTTCTCTCTCCTCGCAATGTGGGCCTTCACTTACCAAACAAACCACCGCTACACACGCCAGATTGCCTTTATTTTAACTACTAGTAATCATCGCCATAATAACAACAGTAAAAGAAGCAACAAGATTGTTAATAAAAGTGTATTTTGGGAGAGAAAAGATTTAAAAAAAAATATTAAAAAAAACACAAGACAAGAAGCACAGGGAAGTGGGATTGTTGTTGTTGTTGTTGTTCGTCTGGATCGGGTTGGCTTTAGGGCTTTGAATGCTATCTGGGTATCCTTTCTGAGGCAATCAAGCTCCAAAGCTGAACCCTTTCTCTAGAATAGCATAGCAATGGTAGAACACGTGTGTTTCCTCTACAAGGTACTTCCTTTTTGCTATGTAGCAACACAATGTGCTTCTTCTCTAGCTTCCCGTGTTTCGCGATTTTTCTTCTAACTTGCTTCTCTATGCACTGTTTCAACTTTGGGTTTTTCCCCCTCCCTCTCTTTTCCCTTTTGGTTTCAAAGTTTAATTTTTAGTGTTTGTCGCTACTTTTTATCCTCAAATTCGGGAGCTTTAACTCGGAGTGAACGAGGAGAAGATGAAATAGTCACGCGGGTGCAAAGAAGAAGGGTTTCAATTCGTATTTTTAATTTTTTTTTAATTTTTTTTTTAATTTTTTATGTGTATGGGTTTAAAGACGAAACATTTAAACTCCTTTGCACGATCTGGATTACTGAATTTGCATGGTCAATTGTTCATTATTCTTTATAGTAAATGCTTATTAACTATTACCAAATGTGTATATCAGTTTCATTGGGGCTTATTGGAATTTTTTTGGTACATGCATGTCTTACTGAGACTAGTGCTTTATGCCTCTGAATTTTTTTATTTTTTATTTTAGTTGTGTTTTTAATTAACTTATTTAAATTACTAATATTCTAATAAAGCTAAGAGTAAGATATTTTAGTTTGAAAAAAAAATCTATATAATTGGTATTAGATTTGGCAACAATTTGGTAATTGACTCTGTTTCCTTTTTTCCTTTATGATCTTCTGGAGTTTCAGGGAAGGAGGAGGTTCCATAAATTTACCTATTTAACTCTCTTCGTAGTGATGAAAGTTGTGATATTGTTTGCATTCTAGTGACTTTCTCCTCGTGTGTGATTGCAGGAAATTCTTGTCATGAAAACTCCAAAGAGATCACCAATGTTACTAAGGACGGTAGTTGTTATGTTTTCGATGATCTGTGGCATTTTTATCTTCTCTGTATGTCTGAAGCAGATAAGAACCCACGCTAGGACTAAATTTATAGACTTGAAAATCATTGACAACCCTTCTCTTAGTAGATTGAAGCTAATGAATGCTCCTCACCTGCTACATTATCCCAAACCTGTATCCTTTAGCAGGTAATGGGAAGTTTCAGGGAATCTTTATCAATTGTCTTTAATTGGGTTCTCATTGATTGCCTTGTTCTTTGCCAGGAAGGAGTGTGCTCGTAATCCTGTACTGTTCTTTGCTATATTGTCCAATCAGAGATCGGGTAGTGGGTGGTTTGAGACCCTTTTGAATAGCCACATCAATGTAAGTTCCAACGGGGAGATATTTTCTGTTAAAGTGAGAAGGCAAAACGCTTCTTCAATTCTGCAGACTTTAGATAAAGTTTACAATTTGGACTGGTTCAGTAGTGCTTCCAAGAATGAGTGCTCTGCTGCAACTGGCTTGAAGTGGATGCTTAATCAGGTGCACATACTTTTTGTTTAGTTCTCCAAGTTGTGTACTCTTGTCAACAGACTCACACTTTTATTGATATTAATGGTGGTCCAACCTCAGGCCAGGGATTGTGTAAGGTTTATGCTGTAGTGTTGTGTTAATTTCTGTAGTTAAACATGTACTGGCCTGAAGGATTGTCTAGATTTTTCACAAAACTGTTTGAAAGTAATTCCCCATTCTCCTAAAATCAATACTAGAATATCACATGCCAATCATAAAATATGTTTTTGTTTGTTGACTCATTGGTTGCAAACTGAACTCCTAGAGTCTGCTGATGTTCTCTTGAGCCTATGTTTTTTGTTATAGATGTTTCAAGAAGAAAAACACAGCTTATGCTATTTCTATGAGTAGGCATAGTTGCGTTTTGTATGTTACAGTCTTATATTGCATTTTAATTTTACACCCAGTCACCCTTCTATATATTTCTGTTATGGAGGATTTAAGTTAAAGATAACCTCTGGTATTTAGCTTCATCATGATTTCCTACTCGGTATCTGGAATTGGCCATTTTCTCTCATTTGCTGACTGCCAGTTGTGAGCTTTGAATAGAAGTCGGATACCTAGTTGCTCATGAATATAATCTGACTATCTGAGCTGTGAAACTCACAGCTATTGTGCTTGATAGAAGTGACAAGTTTTACCAAAAGGAGATGAGATGGACTCACACATAATCCTGTTGAGTATTTTTTACATAAATTTAGTCAAACCTGGGTGTATATAGACCTGATCAATATTATGAAATATTAATAAAATTACTTGCAAAAAGAATGGGAACTGCTCAATCTATATATTGAAAGCCCTATGATGGGAAACTATCACGATAGGTTTGGATAGAGATTGGACCTATTATTCTATTAAATAGGGATAGCAACCATATCTGGTTCTCTCTACAATAATAAAATGATTTTACTCGCATGTGCTCGTTGCAAACTTGCTTTTTACATTGTTCTAGGAGTATCATACAGGTGATTTGTCCACATATATTTTAAAAAGATAAGAAAATGCCATTCAAGTATCTCTGTTAGTTATTACTGTAGGATGCTTTGTGTGAAATTGTGCCATCTTCTGTGTTCCCTAAGTATTACCTATTTATCCTATGGTTTAAATACTCATTTAATCCCTATAGTTTTATCAACTTTATCTTTTAGTTTCTATGATTTCAAAAATTTTACCTTTTAATTTCTATAGCAAATAGACAATAGGGATCAAAACAAAACAAAAATTGTATGTGTAGGGACTAAATTGAAATGTTTTAGACTATTAAACTATAGAGACTTAAAGGTAAAGTTTATGAAGCTACAGGTATTAGATGGGTATTTAAATGTATCCTCCTTTTTAGTGTTCTTGAGAATTTTTGTAATGTCAAGACTCAAGAAATAGTGTTAAGAATATTTAGTGTGGAGAATTATAGTTTCTTTTCAGTTGTGTATTTACTAAAAGTGTATGACAAGTGCTAAAATTCAAAGATGCCAATCTACAATTTCACTTTTATTTACTTTTTTCTTTCACCTTGATTCGTCTTGTGTTTAAAATATATTGCTACTGTTACTTCAGGATCCAGGGAACATAAACGGTAAAGCAATGCCTTTAGTGATATATTTATCATTTATGGACTGTTATTTTCTTGTGGATATTAAATTGATGGAATTTGACATATGCTGTATACCTCACATGTGCCTGCTGTCCTGCTCTTTCTCCCCTCCCTCTCACACTCTGTTTCCTTCCATCTAGCTTATGTTGATGTTTGGCCTGACTTGAAGTAATAAATGAACGAAGACATCTGTATTATGCAGGGACTGATGGAGCACCATAAGGAAATAGCAGAATATTTCAATCATAGACGTGTTTCGGTCATATTTCTCTTTCGAAGAAACTTACTACGCAGGATGGTATCAATGCTAGCCAATTCATATGACCGTCATGCTAAGCTATTGAACGAAACACACAAGGCTCATGTACACACTACCAAAGAGGTATCTCCATCCATGTTTCCCTTGATTTTTCTTATAGTCATGAAATGAAGCTCATATTTGGTTTCTTTTAGGCTGACATTCTTTCAAAGTACAAGCCTATCATAAATTCTACATCATTGCTGGATGACTTGAAGGATATGGAGACGAGAGCTTCTAAGGCTTTAGAATACTTCAACAGCACTCGGCATATGATCTTGTACTATGAGGATCTTATGAGAAATCACACTGTAAGGACCTCATCATATTTTTATCTAAATCTTCTACCAAAATTTTCATAAAATGAAAAATCATTTTGAATGTAATACGATCACAATCTGCCGGTTATAACTTCTCGGCTTAATTGCACTTTTTTATCCCCCATCTTTTATATTTTCGTAAAATTTGCCATCTAACTTTCTAAATAGCACATTTTGCAACTTTACTTCCAAAATTTCCTACATTTTGTAACTCCATTAGTTGATTACTGATGTAGCATGTTGTTTGCTGATGACTTACATGTAACATTTTGTCATGTATCATTTATATGTCACATTAATGATCCATGTTAGTGGTCAACATGCCACATTAGTAGTCAATGTGCCTTGTCAACAACATTCCACGTTGGTGGTCAACTAGACAATCAATTAATGATGTGGGAAAATGTGCTAAAATTTGAATAGAGTGATAAAATTTGCAATTTTAAAATTTGCGTGGCAGAATTCACAAAAATGTGAAAAATGGGTAACAAAAAGTGCATTTAAGCCTGGCTTCTTTATGATTCGCCAGTACTGAACTTGAGTTTCGGTAAATAGTTGTCCCAAAATATGATAACAAAGGAAGAAACTTCAATTTTATTAATGGATTTAGCTCTGCTAAAGTGAAGGGTAACACGAAAATCTAGTTACAAGTGTTGATTAAAATATCAGCCGTTGAGATTTTAACAACTTCATAGTTTGTTGTACACATACACATATTTATTCACTTGTATTCCTAGTTTTGGATTTTGATTACATTATGGGCTTCATTGATGCAGAAGCTAAAAGATGTGCAAGAATTTTTAGGATTGCCACAGATGGAGTTAAGAAGCCGTCACGTTAAGATCCATAGAGGACCATTGTCTGACCACATTCAGAACTGGGATGACGTTAAGAAGACGCTTAGAGGAACCGTTTATGAGAGTTTTCTTGAAACTGACTATTAGTCGTATTCTAACTGCTGGAGAAAGGTGTAAATAGCATACTAACGTCGCTGATCTTTTGCCCAAGTAAAGCCTCAGGGTTCCAAAGTTTTGGTTTTGGTATTGGTATTGGAACATTACCTCAGTGTTCCGATGCCTTGTTTTGTCACACCCTCTCATCATCTAACACCGTTTATGAAACGAATGCCTCTTGTTCCTCTGTAGTCTTTTTTGTTTCCCCTTTCGTTAGTGAACATGTATATGCCTTTGCCAGCTAATTGATTTAAGTGTAGATGAGCATTGTTTTGTTCAAGCCCGTGTTCGCTTATGTTTTTTTCTTTGTTCATTGTTAACCCTTTCTAGATAGGAAAAATATAGAAAAATGTTAGTGAAACACTAACTTAAAAATTTAAGAATCACAAACTTTGGATATCTTAATACTAAATCAGAAAAGAAACTTATTAACGAGACAGGAGATTCATAAAACTTGTGGTTTTTAATAAATTAGTCAATAATAAATAAAATATTAGAAAGAGAATATTAAGAACACTATTATAAATAAATAGATATATTTGAGGAATATAAAATGACATAATTGATTATTAATCTCTTTCATGGTCACCGCCATCAAGTACATTGTAACTCAATTGATTTGATATTTTTCAATCATGGGCCTCATAAAACAGCCCAATATCGACCCATCTTGATGCTCCTCCACGGGGTGAGTAAGCAAATACCAATGGTGTGAGAAACATTTTTGTCGAATAATAATATTTCTTAAAACTATTTGTTTGGCCTATAAAAGTTAATTTTGGTGTTAAGAATATCGTCATAGTTCGATATATTTAGTGATGTCACGTTGATACCTTGTTATAAAAAGTTAAGAAGATCTAATCGTCAAAGTCGAGTAGCATTTAGGAAAAGTTCATTAGGCAGTGACACTAACTATATTCGAACATATGTCAGCATCTGAAAATGACAAAATGCTTACTACATGATCATTGACTTTGGGTGACGTGGTGTCATTCTTTCATTAACAGGGATCTATTCCGCTTTTAGACAACGAGTAAATTTGTTGCAACACAATTGATCACACAACTTTATTGCTTAAATTAAAACCACAATTACATAAACACGAGCCTATGTAAAGTACAATAAAGCTAGCAGGATTAGACCCAATTCAAAAAGCTTTTAGGCTTTTGGATGGGTTGGGTTAACGGGCCAAACCCGTCTCTTGTATTACTGAAGTAGCCTCCATAACTTTAAGCTAGCCTGTTATTCTTTTTTCTTCTTTTTTTTCCTTTCTGTAAAGTAAAGATATCCTCGACCAATAGTTTAAGATTAATTCTTTTTAGATGTAGAGATTACTAAAGTAAGTCTTGTTAGTGACAGATTAATTTCTTTTGATCACCGGAGTGAGATTTGTCTCTCTTGACAAGATTTTTTCCATGCCTATTATTAGATAATCGAACTTTTATCAACATGTTTAAAGAACTTAATTATGCTATAAGTATTGCATGTGCCAATGGTAAAAAAGTTGCGGTAACAGCCAAGGCTACTTGAAACCAACCACAACACAAAGTATTTAACCATGACGCTGGAAAATATTCAGTTGCAATCTAGTTGGAAAGCTGACTGAGTGAAAATCCTAACAGAGATCCATTTTCCTCAGAAGAAAGAAATGGTAAATTAATCTTCATGTGGGTAAAAATTAATAAATTAAAATAAAGAATATATTAATACAAAAGTTACACATACAATAAGTATTATAATTGTAATTTTATGGTTATTTATGAATTTACGTCCATAATTAACATTAACCTTTTTTAAATTTAAATAAAAATAATGATGGCAAATTTTTTATGGTTATTTATGAATTTAATTATAACTAACAATATAGAGTCCGTTTGTTTTAAATATGAGCAGTGCTTTATAAATTAAGGAATAACTATCTTTTTAAGTGCCCCTAAAGTCAATTTACCCCTTTTAACAACAGGGGAAAGGGGGTCATTACAAGGGCCTAAATGATATGAAAGCTGAAACACCAATGAAAGGATAATGAACGTAAAAAGACGAGTTTTACCAGTAATTTCATACATTTGAATAAAAAAGATACCTCTAAACAAATTTGAAAAGAAAATAGAGTTATGGTGAAAGACACAATACCGATTACTTTAATACTTTTGACATATTCAAATATCCTTTTATAGCTCTTGTCATAAAAAGTCACTAGCCTCGTCACTAAAACTCATTAATTAAAAGGAAGAATATTCTTCGTTATTTTTATTATATATTCAACCATGACTTAGAGTATTTTTTAAAGATAATTCTTAATTTCTTATCAGGTATTTATTAAGATTTTTATTTTATTTTAAATAAAATTTATCATGTCATGTCATTTTTAAGTATCTCATATTATATATTAGAAATTTTGTTTCAATGGTAAAATCTTATAGGCAACTTACTTTTTTATAATTTTTTTTATTTATAATTCACATTTTGATAATTTTAAAAATTAATGTAATTATTATAATTCAATATTAATTAATTAAACATAATAAATCATATTTTTTGATTTGTGGAAATAACTTGTATTTTAAGCAACATTGTTTATTTTTAAACAATTTTTTGTATCATGTCATCACACTTTTATGAGAATTTCTAATAAGCATCATTGCTTATTAGTAACATATATCACAAACATTTTACATTATAGATGTTTTAAGAAATGTTTGGTTGTAAAATGTTTTTACTTTTTAAGAATCTTAAATCAATAATTGATTTTTCATATTTGGTAGATATTTAAAAAAAACATTCTTAAGAATGGAATCCTAAACCCTAAACTCTAATGAACCATTTTTATCTTACATTTTTACGAAAATATTCTCATAAGGGTATGAGAATCTAACTTTATCAAGTTAGGGAAAAAAAATTATGTATATAAAAAAGTCACAATATTTTTTAAAAAAATAGAAAACCTCTTATTATATTTCTCTTTCTCTCTCTCTCTTTCTCATTCTCACTCTCCCCTTTTCCTTTCTCCCTCCCCCTCTCTCTCTCTCTCCTATTTTTCTTTCTCCCCCTCTTTCTCTCTCACTCTCACTCTCCCTCTTCCTCCCTCCCTCTGTCTCCCCATATCTCTATTTTTTTTTTCTTTCTTGTATCTCATTATTTATTGATCTCGTCAATTTTAATAATATTATTAAAGTTTGTTTTATTTATATAATTTAGTAGTATTTGTTAATACTTTTTATTTTATTTATTTCTATTGAAATAAAATAAAATAATATATTTTTATCCTTCTCATTTATTATATAATATTTTTCTTTGTTTGTTTCTTTTGTTGAATTTTGTATTTAAATAATTTTAACTATACGTTTTCAACTTTTAAAAATATTTTAATTTCGTATTTGTAATAAGATTTGAGTAAGTAAATATATCTAATGAGATTATTTTAATAAAGAATATTTTTGTAAAAAATATTTATATACCTAGAAATATACTATTGACATTAAACATGAAAAATATTTGATTTTCGAGAATCTCATATGAATATTCTCAAAATCCTAAATTTTAAGGACAAATTTTAGTTATTCTAAAATATATTAATTCTCAAAATTTGTTATTTTTAAGGATAATGAATTCATGATTCCTATGTATGAAAAAATTTCTCCCCACCAAATACTTTCCAAGAGCGAAAAAATACAATTAATCTTAAAATTAAATAATAAATCCATTAAGTTACATTTCATGTTTCTTCTTTTTATAAAACAATAACTTTTTTTTTTTGTGAATAAAACAATGACTCTATCCTCTATAGTATTCAATACTGAACCTTTTATATATACAGATATCTAATAAACACTTATTTATAAACATAAAAGAAAAAAAAAGAGCAAATAATCGACAAAACAAAACAAATTTTTAGCAAATAATTGACAAAAAAAACAAATTTTCTTCAATTATAACGTTTTCTTTTGGAAACTCATTAGTATCTTTCAACATTTTTCTTGGTCAAAAATCGTAGTTTTACAATCAGAAGCTAATGTGCGTTTACATCGATAGTACATAAAATTTTGCTAGGTCACGTGGGCATTGGTAGGCTATACATCATTAATAAGTTCCGTTTATTCTCAAAATTAGGCAACACTAGTTTTTTTTTGGTCACTCAAATGGTAGGATAATTGGTCCCAAGATTTAAAGCGACATACATAAGACAAGATTCAAAACCCCTGACTTTACTTAAGCGTAGATCAATCCCTACTGCTAAACCATATGCTTGAAGTTTGATAACACTAATTTTTGTTACGATAGATAATATGTTTATTTGTATTATTAATTGTCAATTATTTTGCATTTTTAATTAATAAAGTACTTTTTTTGTGTGCATTAAAATATTCCTTGATTAATAATAGACTATATCCTTTTGAGATATAATGATCATTAAAATAAGTTTGATTTATTTTTTAATAGAATCTTTTACGTTCATATAGTTAGTGAATCGAACATTTGTTAGCATGCTTAGTTATTTTATTTTTCTAATTATTACAATCAAATATTTTTAATTGTATTAATTTTACCCTAACATCTTGCATTTTCAATTTTTTTTTTCAAAATCTTCATGAATTAAATTAAAAAAATTAAATTCAAACAAAAATTATTAAATAATTATACACTGATTATATATATAAAAAAATCATCATCAAATATGTAGATCAATTAATGGAGAATTAATTTTAGCTAAATAAATAATTTTTAAATATATAGTTGTGTAACACTCCAATAGAGTATAGTTTATAATAATCCTTTCTAATTCAACAAAATTGGTAGGTATATTTTATAAAAGATATTATTTTCCATAGTCTTCAAAAAAAAATTATACAAATGTAATTAAATCTATCTAATATAAGCCTTTTATGTTGCATGAAAAGAAAAACATCGCAACCAAATAACTACAATTTTTCTGAATTTATATATAAAAAAAATTAATTTTTTTCTTAAAATATAAACAATTTTTAATCAACTGGCTTTATTCAATGTTGTTAATTAACCCAAAAATATTCTTATGATAATAAATAAGAATACTATTTATTATAAATGTGATTAAATATATTTTAAAAAATATAATGTATATTTTACGTGAAATTATAAAAATTAAATATATTTAATGAAGTTTTTATGAATTATTTTTGCTTATATAGACCGCAGGGAATATCATGCAACTTTTAACCTGGTTTTGCATTTTTTTAATAATAAAATTAATTATTAATTATCTTATACTATATTCTTTCAAAAATAACGTTTTACGAATCT